AGGTATCGCTATCCAAATAGCTGCTCTGAAATGCTGCCATATCCTTTTTACTTATAAGCCTACATTTCACCTCTCCCAGTGCCCGTCCCCTTTAGTTAGTTTAAATCCCTGTCTGCAACCTAGTTACTTGATTTGCCAGGACATTGGTCACAACACAGCTTAAGTGAAGCTCATCCGATTGGAACAGCTTCCTTCTGCCCCAGTCCTGGTGCCAATCCCTTATGAACAGAAACCTTTTCCACCCGCACCAAACTCTCAGTCACACATTTAACTCCTTCACTTTATTTACCTTGTGGCAGTTTGCCTGTAGCTTGGGGAGTAAACCCAAGATTATTACCTTGGTTCTGTTTTCAAATTTAGCTTCTATGAGTTCTTTCAGCAGAACCTCATTTCTAGTCCTACCAATGTTGTTCGTACCAATGTGGACAATGACAATATTTTTTTCTTAAGAGATAGTAGGAACTGCAGATGCTGGAGAATCCGAGACAACAAGGTGCAGGGCTGGATGAACACAGCAGGCCAAGCAGCATCATAGGAGCAGAGAGGCTGACGTTTCGGGCCTAGACCCTTCATCAGAAAAGGGGGAGGGGAAGGGGGTTTTGAAATAAATAGGGAGAGAGTGGGAGGCGGATAGAGGAGAGGATAGGTAGAGAGGAAACAAACAGGTCGAAGAGGCGGGGATGGAGCCAGTAAAGGTGAGTGTAGGTAGGGAGTTAGGTAGGGAGTTAGGAAGGGGATAGGTCAGTCCAGGGAGGACGGACAGGTCAAGGGGGCGGGATGAGGTTGGTCGGTAGGAGATGGAGGTGCAGCTTGAGGTGGGAGGAGGGGATAGGTGGGAGGAAGAACAGGTTAGGGAGGCAGGGACGAGCTGGACTGGTTTTGGGATGTGGTAGGGGGAGGGGAGATTTTGAAACTTGTGAAATCCACATTGATACCATTGGGCTGCAGGGTTCCCAAGCGGAATATGAGTTGCTGTTCCTGCAACCTTCGGGTGGCATCGTTGTGGCACTGCAGGAGGCCCAGGATGGACATGTCGTCTGAGGAATGGGAGGGGGAGTTGAAATGGTTCACGACTGGGAGGTGCAGTTGTTTATTGCGAACCGAGCGTAGGTGTTCTGCAAAGCGGTCCCCGAGTCTCCGCTTGGTTTCCCCGATGTAGAGGAAGCCACACCGGGTACAGCGGATGCAGTATACCACATTGGCAGATGTGCAGGTGAACATCTGCTTGATGTGGAAAGTCTTCTTGGGGCCTGGGATGGGGGTGAGGGAGGAGGTATGGGGGCGAGGGAGGAGGTATGGGGGCAGGTGTAGCACTTCCTGCGGTTGCAGGGAAAAGTGCCGGGTGTGGTGGAGCTGGAGGGGAGTGTGGAGCCGACAAGGGAGTCACGGAGAGAGTTGTCCCTCCGGAAAGCAGATAAGGGTGGGGAGGGAAAGATGTCTTTGGTGGTGGGGTCGGATTGCAGATGGCGGAAGTGTTGGAGGATGACGCGTTGGATCTGGAGGTTAAGGCAAGCTACTATTTTGTAGTTCAAGGCTTTGCTGAAAACTAACTCAGTAGATTAAGTTTTCACTTGTTCTGAATATCCTTATCTGTGTTCACATTGCTCCTTACACATCCACAGAGCATGGTCCCATTTATTTTAAACAGTGAAGGCCATATGAACATCAATGTGTGCATACGATAGTTGATGTTTTAACTTCAGCAAACCATCATAATTGAACAACTTTTCATAACCTGATTTATTTGGGTCACTTCATATTGCCTGGGACTTCTGTAAATGCTTTACTACTCTCACTTCAATCAGCAACTACAGTTCCAGGTAAAATTCCTCGAAATGAAATGCAGAGGCATGCCATTTTATTTAACTTTGTAATTGATATTTTGCTAATGAAATTGCACAAACCACAGTCTCACAAACCTGCTTTACAAAAATCCATAACTCCTGAAAGCAGAGTTTTGCAAGAAGGCTCATGTCATCAGTTAACTTGAGGCATTCTGGCTTCCCCCACATTCCATATTCCTTTGAAAACATGTCGTGCAGATTTGCTCAGATTTTCTAGTCAGGAAAGGTACATCATTAATAAACAAGCAGACACAACATTGTGTGAATGTATTGACTGTGCAGAAAGTGTATTTTAATTGGCATAATTTCAAATAAAAACAGCTCTTTACTTCGCAATTGCTTTGCCTTTTTAGAATGTACTTCCTTTTAATGACTTACTTGAAATAAATCAGAAACATTCTGTTGCAACATTGGAACACATGAGTATTCAATGCACATTTCAGAATAGTTTTAAACCTGATTACTGCAAAAATTCTTTCAAGGTTTTATGAGAGACGCTTGTTCTTGACCAGAATAATGGCTGGATTCTTCACCAGAATAATTGTTCAGGTTTGTAAAGTGTGTAATTCTGAATTATTAGTAATAATTTTAGTAATTTGTAAATCCTGTGGTAATTTGGGTTTGTTTCAGCTCTTGTTTTGAGCGAGGAGCATTGAATAAATGGAAGTGCCTGAGACAGAACGAGGAAATGAAGCAGCCAGTCTCAAAGAAACCTACACCTGTCTATTGTACACACTGATGATTTTACCACGTGGTATTTTGAAGTTAACAGCAGTTTGTGTCTGATTCAAATTTATTTGTAAATAGTTCCTTTAACCCTGTTGATGCCTGCTTTTGTAAGGAATTTGACTGTTGTGACTGGCAATGAAATGTGTGTGCTACATACAAGATGCACTACAGAAATCCACCAAAGATCCTCAGATGGCATCTTCCAAACCCATGACCACTCCCATCTAGAAGGATAAAGGAGGCAGACACATGGGAACACCACCACCTGCAAGTTCTTCTCCAAGCTGCTCACAATCCTGACTTGGAAATATATCACCGTTCCTTCACTGCCACTGGGTCAAAGTCCTGGAATTCCCTTCCTGAGGGCATTGTAGGTCAACCTACAGCAGATGTACTGCAGCAGTTCAAGAGGGCGGTTCACCACTGCCTTCTCAAGGACAATTTTAGAAGGATGATAAATGCTGGCGCACCAGCGACACCCACATCCCACGAATGAATTAAAAAATCAGAGCACTGAGGCATACTATTCAAATAGCCAGCTTTGGTAGCTGGACTGCCCACCTCCAAGCTCTTTTTCTTGGGCAGTGGTCTGACCTCAGTTACCCCACTCCCCGCCACTCGACTGTAGGCACTTTCTCTTGAGGTGGAGACACCAAGCTGGACTGTGTCCTTCTTTCCACCTCGAAGAAAATCCAGCCCATCGTGCCTAAGTCTGTCTTCATCGCCAGCGTGTGCGCGCTGTGGCTGAAGACTGATACTTAGCTCATAGTCACCTTTCCTCGTCTCTCTATCCTGTGCCAGTCTTCGCAATTGGCAAAACAAAAATCCTTCAGTTTTCATGCCATTTACCATTAATGTTCTTTTCCTCTTTTTCTTTGAACTGTTCCCTTCATAACATTTCCTACTGAGACTTTCAGTTTATTCGTAGTTACCCTGGGCAGACTTCTTTCATCATTCATTCTCCATAGTATGTCACCGTTTGATACATTTTCCGTCCAACAGGTCCTTTCGGAACGGCTAAAATTTGCTATAACAGGTGTGAATAAACAGATAATTTAGATAATTTTAAAGAATGCTTTTATTTAAGAAACAGGGATCAGTAGAAAAATATCTTTGGAGGATGATTGGGTGGGGGGGAGGTTTCATCAAGATCAGTCATTCAAGATGGGGGCTGTCACCACCCTCATGAACACATTTTGGAATTGGCAACAAATGCCAACCCTGCTATATCCCCCTGAAAGAATCTTTGTGTTTTAATAAAATTGCTTTAAGGGCATGTTTTACAAACTATCAGTTTGGAAAAGGAACGTTCAAGTTTGTTTATTCCTTGTATTAAATTAGAGAGGGTACAGAAAAGATTTACAAGAATGTTCCTGATTTGCTTGGTTTGGTGTTAACTTGATTTAATGAGGTTTTTTTTTAGATGTGGGTCAGTCATAGGGGTTACATTCTCACCTTTGAATCTTAAGCTTCTAGGTTCAAGTCCCAGTTTGGGATTTGCGTGAAACTCAAGGCTGATGCTCCAGTGTAGCACTGTCAGGTCTATATAAAAGATCCTGTGGTACTGTCTTCTTGGAGAGCTTAAGAGTTCCCCAGGCATCATGACCAATATTCATCCCTCAACTAACATTGTTAAAGCAATGTTAGCTGGATATCATTGCATAGTTTTTTGTGGAATCTTGCTGTGTGCAAATAGGCTGTGGTTCCAATATTACAGCAGTGGTTACCTATCCATAAGGGCTTCATTGACTGTAAAATGGTTTGGGACAACCTGTGGTCTTGAAAGGCTCTATATAAATAAACCTTTCCTGTGTAATTTGTATGTGGTATCCCTAATCCTGAAATTGCCTTGGAGGTTTCATTATGTTAACAGTACTTTGTAAGTACAAGTTATTGAAATTACAGTTGAAAAATATTTTTGATATTCGGACTTAATCTCCAGAATCAGCTGACAATCTCTTCTCCTATGATGCTGCTTGGCCTGCTGTGTTCATCCAGCCCTGCACCTTGTTGTCGCGGATTCTCCAGCATCTGCAGTTCCTACTATCTCTGACAATCTCTTCTGCTCCTTTTTTCTTTCGATGTAATGTTACATCACTCAATGCAACAGACAAATATGCTGATTTCTCTTGCCATCATCCTGCACTGTCTAATTAAAATAGGCTTCTGGTCAGCAGAAATGTGCAGTTGCCATGTTTCAAATGGTAATCTTGGCTGGGCTTTTGTTAGTAACAGTGTGGGCAATTTATTGCTGATGGAATCCCCAATGTTTGTTCTCTTTCTAGCTCTTTAATGAAATTGTAGAATCTTTTCAGTGTTGACTAATGATTTAAAATGTTAATTTGAATATTAAGCAATCAGCACTTCCACAATATGAGAATGGTAAAACCTGGAGCCTCAAAAACTGTCCTTGTGATTTCTTTCTAGGCAAAACCAAAGGACATTGAACCTATAGACTACGAGAATGTCTTGTTACAGAAGAAAGCACAAATTATCAGTGATCCTTTGCGGGACATGCTGCTTTTCCCTAATGAAGATTTTCAGGTATTATCTAGTGAAGTTTATGTTAGAGTAATAATGTTTCAAGTGCTTTTACATTTTGTTTGAATGGTACATTATGTGCAGTCTGAGCAACACGAGTCGGCAAGGCTATACTGCTCGAAAGATACTGCAGCTAAAAAGTTTAAATTACCGGGGAACAGTAACCTAGAGAGGCCTCGTACCTGTCTTGACTACAAAGGTTAAATATTTCATAGGATATGAGTGTCGCTGTCTAAGCCAGTATGCATTGCCCAACTTCAATTTCCTGGCGGAATATGATGCTTTTTGTGTAAAGGACAAAGGTGGGCAATTTTCCACATTGTTGGGTAGATGTCAGTACTGTAGCTAGGAGCTCAGCTGGATCCAGAGGCTTTCAGTCCTTCAGTGCCCAGCCGTTTCTTGACAAGATGCGGAGGGAAGACAGGCAACTGTGATACTGGGGATCTCAAGACAAGGCCGAGATGGATCACCCACTCAGCGCTTTTGTCTGAAGGAGGATGCAAATATTTCAGACTTGTCTTTTGCACTGGTGTGCTGGGCTGCCCAATAGTTGAAGTTGAGGACAATTTGGAGCTGCCTCCTCCTGCTAGCTGTTCAATTCCCATCATTGTTCACAAAGGGGCTACAGAGCTTAGATCCAATGCTATGATAAGAGCAAGCTTCTTCCCTTTAACCAAATATTGGAATCCGTTAAGTTACAATGTATTCAAAGCTGAGGGTCATACTGCTATATTATTCCGAAATAGTCTTGGAACTATATGTTCCCATATTTGTTTACATAAGTATCCAGAGGGTCATGTTGCTGATTACTGCACTGCAATCTGTTTATGATGCTGCACGTTTGATTTTGTAAGTGCAATTGAAAACCATAAAACATAACTCCAATTGATAGATTGCAACCCATCCCTCTTCCTGAATTGGGACTGATGTATGATAACCAGTAGATGGTTTGTTATTATTTCCAGCAGCCAAACCAAATAATCAGAACTGTACTGTGCACTGTCCCTTTGCCTGAACACTGATTCGGAGAGTTTCTGCATAGCTGTTGAGTACAGTTTCTTTTATCAGTTTAATTATTTCCTTTTTGGGATGGTACAAAGTTTCCAGGCTGATTTGATCAAAGGAGAATGTAGCGTTCGTTAATGTTGTAAATTTCTTGGAATCAAACAAGACAATTAGGCCGCACCAGGACATATTTCTTCAGCCAATTTCCATGATTTGTCTGTTTCCTCCCACTGTTGGAAATGTACTTGAGTGTTGCCTTTTCCATTGAGCTCGAGAATGGGTTAAAGGTTATGTCTAAAGTCACAAACCATTGCTCAAATAAATCTGCTCACTTTGTTCTCTGTTTCAAATCCCCAATGGACAGCACACTTGTTGTTTGGAGATTTAAATGTCATGAGTAGATGATTACTGTAGCAATTTCACAAATGACAGTACCTTGTATTTCTAAAGCACTGTTAGTGTAATAACACATTCCAAGGAGCTCTATGGAATCATTATAGAGTCATACAGCACAGAAACAGACCCTTTGCTCTAACTAGTCCATGCTGAATTTACTCCTAAACTAAACTAGTCCCATCTGTCTTCTCCTGGCCCATATCCCTCCAGACCTTTCCTATTCATATATCTATCCAAATGTTTTTTAATTGTACCCGCATCCACCACTTCCTCAGGAAGTTCATTCCATATGTCAACCACCCTCTGTGTAAAACATTTGCCTCTCATGTCTTTTTTAAATCTCTCTCCTCTCACCTTAAAAATGTGTCCCCAAGTCTTGAAATCCCCCATCCTAGGGAAAAGACAACTACATTAACTCTATCTATACCTCTCACTATTTTATAAACTTCTATCAGGTCGTCTCTCAACCTCATATGTTCCAGTGAAAAAGTCCCAGCCTATCCAGCCTTTCTTTATAACTCAAACCTTCGTACCCGGTAACATCCGGGTAATTCTCCACTGAACCCTCTCCAGCTTAATAGCATCCATTCTATAACAGGGTGACCAGAACTGGTGACAGTATTCCAGAAGAGGCCTCACCAATGTCCTGTACAACCTCAACATGACTTCCCAACTCTATACACAAAGGACTGAGAAATGAATGTAGGCATGCCAAATGCCTTTTTAACTACCCTGTCAATATGTGACGCAAACTTCAAAGAATTATGTACCTGCACCCCTAGATCTCTCTGTTCCACAACACTACCTAAGGTCCTACCATTAATTGTATAAGCTATACCCTTGTTTGTTGTATCAAAATGCAATACCTCGCATTTATTCAGATTGAACTCCATCTGCCATTTTTCAGCCCATTGACCCATTTAATCAAGATCCCTCTGTAATCTTAAAAAACCTTCTTCACTGTCTACTATGCCACCAATTTTGGTGTCATCTGCAAACTTACTAACAGTGCCTTCTATGTACTCATCTAAATCATTTATATAAATGACAGAAAAAAGGACCCAGAACTGATCTCTGTGGAACAGTTGGTCACAGGCCTCCTGTCCGAAAAGCAACCCTCCTCCATTACCCTCTGTCTCCTGTCATTAAGTCAATTATGTATCCAATTGGCAAGCTCACCCTGAATTCCATATGGCCTAATTTTACTGATTAGCCTACCATGCGGAACCTTGTCAAAGGATTTACCTAAATCCAAATAAACAACGTCTACAGCACTGCCATCATCAATCTTTTTGGTAACTTCCTCAAAAAACTCAATCGAGTTTATGAGACATGATTTTCCTCGCATAAAGCCATGCTGACCATCCCTAATCAATTTTTGTCTCTGTAAATGTCAATAAATCTTATCTTTTATAATCGCCTCCAACAATTTACCCAAAGCCGAAGTCAGACTCAGGTTTATAGTTCCCCGGTTTCTCCTTATAAACTTTCTTCAACAAAGGTACCACATTAGCCACCCTCCAGTCATCAGGCACCTCACCCGTAGTTATAGATGACGTAAATATTTCTGCAAGGGGTCTTGTAATTTCCTCTCTTACTTCCTACAATGTTCTGGGATATATCAGGTCAGGTCTGGGAGATTTATCCACCTTTATATTGTTTAAGACCTCCCGAACTACTACTACTTTAATGTGAACTGTTTTAAAATATCAAAATTTATTTTTCTAGACTCCGTTTCTTTCTCCACAGTAAAAACTGATGCGAAATATTCATTTAGTATCTCTCCCATCTCCTCAGGTTCAACACAAGATGACGTCCTTGATCTTTAAGGAGCCCTACCCTCTCTTTAGTTACCCTCTTGCTGTTAATGTATTTGTAGAATCTCTTTAGATTATCCTTAACCTTATTTGCCAATGCTATCTCATATCCCCTCTTTGCCTTCCTGGTTTATTCCTTAAGAATTTATTCCTTACATTGATTAAGAGATTCAATTGAACCAAGTTGTCTGTATCTAAAATAAGATTCTCTTTTATTCTTGACTAGAACCTCAATATCTTTATTCATCCATTGTTCCTTAATCTTACCAGCCTTACCCTTCACTCTAACAGGAACATAATGCCTCTGAACTCTCATCATCACACCCCTGGATACCTCCCACTTGTCATACATCCTTTTACCTGTGAACAGTCTACTCCAATCAACTTCTGAAAGTTTTTGCCTCATACCATTAAAATTTGCCTTGCTCCAACTAAAAACTTTAATTTTTATGGAAGCCTTATCCTTTTCCATAACCATTTTGAATCTGTTAGAATTATGATCGCTAGACCCAAAGTGTTCTGCCACTTTTACTTCAGCCACCTGCCTTGCCTTATTGCCCAAAAGAAGGTCTAGTTTTGCTCCTTCTCCAGTAGGAGCACCATTAATATTGGCACTGAGCCACATAATATGATATTTGGGCAGGTCATCAAAGCTTGGTAGGAGGTAGGCTTTCAGGAGGACAGATATTTAGAGAGGTTTAGGAAGGGAATTCTAGAGTTTAGGGCCTTAGCATCTGAAGTGATGGCTGCCGTTGGTGGAGCAGTTAAAATCAGGGGAGCACGATGAGTTCAGATAGCTCAGAGGCTTGTAGAAGATTGAAGAGATGAGGTGGGGCTTGAAAGTGAGGTTGAGAATTTGAAAACCTAGATGTGAATTGGAACCGTGTGTAGAGTGATGAGAACAAAAACAAAGTTGCTGTAAAAGCTCAGCAGGTCTGGCAGCGTCTGTGCAGGTAAAAACAGAGTTAACGTTTCGGGTCCAGTGACCCTTCCTCAGAAGTAGGGTGATGAGCTCTGGATTGGTGGGTGAGTAGGACTTGGCATTGGTTAAGAGCCAGGCAAAAGAACTCTGGATGGTCACAAGTTCATAACAGGTGCAAGACTGGAGTGGAATGTTTCAATATTAAAGGAAATTTGCAAGAAACAGCTTGAGACACATTTTGAAAATGGGGCTGCTTTTATGATTTGTTTTCCTGAAACTGAGAAGCAATTGAAATTTGTTTATGACAAAGACTTGGAGTGATGACAAGAAAATGTTGTTGCAGGCTTCCAGCTCCATGTGTTTATATATTTTTAATTTTAGACTTTATAATAGAAAGGCCCTTTGGGGGGAGATCATGTGCACCTCATGAGCTAAGCCCCTTGTTACAAATGTTTACTGGTGATAGTCCAACTCCTTTCAAACTCACTTGCTTGTGTGGGTCTCAGCCAGGGCTCAGTTATGAGCACTGTCAGTACTTAAATCAGAAAATTATCCCAACAGAGAAGTTATCTGCCTTCCTTCTTACAAAAGCCCAGAGCATCATTTTGAAGAAGAGTAGGCAAGTTCTTCTTGGTGCTCTCAGCAATATCTGTCCCTCAACCTCCAACACAAAATAAATAAGGTGTCTGGTCCTTAACATGCCATTTGTTGAGAGCCTGCTGCCAGCTGGGATTCCATTGATAGCACACTTGCTAACCTCTGAGCCAGAAGATTATGGATTCAATTCCTGCTCTAGGACTCGAACACAAAGTTCCTGATGAATCTCTAATGTAGCACTATGGGAGTTCTGCCCTGTTAATAGG